ACCATCAATATTTTAAACGAAAATATGAACTGAATTATTAGTAATTCTGTTGGTATATACGCGAGTGGATGGTAGCGCTCCTTTGGTTTGGTTTTTCTTTTTACGTGTTTTTCCGTTTTTTATGTCCAATTTTTTTTGGAAATGTTTGTGAAAAATGAAAGAAATAATTGTTTAAAATTAATAATCTAGGTGAGTTTTCTGTGTTTATAATTTTTTTTTTGTTGTTGTATTTTTCATTTTATTGTTCAGTGTTATAATTGCAGTTGAAATATGTAAAACTGTCTTAAAAGAATATTCGCTGTCATAGTAAGGTAAATTAAGTAGGGTTCTTGTTTCTAATGTTACAGCCCTGAAGATGGTGTGGAGTACACCGAAACGTCGGCATTGATTTCGACATTAAATTAACGTCCAATAAGCCAAAAACTGACTTTCATTTGAAATTGTTGTGGACAAAATTCTAAAAACTTATGCATGTATGTATGTGTTGGAGGTGTCAATAATTGCACTGCGACCAAGGTTGATCTATTGTACCCATCCTTCTGCTGCTAGCTAAGGCATTAGTTATGAAGGATATTCTGCTACAGGAATCGAGCAAAACTGACAAATATGGGTTCATTCAGAGAGGAAAATAGTTTCACCAACGCAGTGGCTATCAAGACTTCTTTACCACTGGAGAGCGTACTTAGAGTGGTATTTAAATTAGAGAGAACAATGTTGTACATTTGGATGTGATTCAGAGCGTTGCAAGCTAACATTTTGCATATTAGAGTTCTGAGTGTTGTCTTGACTAATTTGAGAAGGGTTATTTCTATGCATCATATGTTGTCTATTATTAGGATTTGCAGGTCTAGAGGATTGTTGTGGTAAACGAAGAACATTATAATCCAATTGTAGAAGGTTTGCGCCCTTAACAGTTGTATGAATAGGAAGTGTTTCTTGTTTCATTGGATGTGGTATCATTGTTTACAAGTATACCAAAGAGCCTTGTGTGTCGTATTATTGATGAGCAGTGGCGTTTTATTAGTTCTTACACTTCCATCTCTCGCTGACTTTTCTACGAGATGATAGAATTTTTGTTTGACTCCAGTTATTTCAAATTCAATGGTGAAACTTATCAACAGCTTGATGGCTCAGCTATGGGAAATCCCGCTAGTCCAGTGCTGGCGAATCTCGTTATGAATGAACTCATTTCGTCTACTTTGAAAAAGTTGCCGTTTCAGCTCGCATTCATTAAATTATATGTGGATGACACGACCCTTGCATGTCCAGGTGATAAAATAGATGATCTTATTTCTGAGTTTAATGGTTTCCACCCTAAACTACAGTTCACTATGGAAGTGGAGAATGGAGGTAATTTGCCATTCCTTGATACGATGGTCATCAGGTGTCCTGATGGGTGTTTGAAAACCAATTGGTTTGTTAAGCCTACCGCATCTGGTAGGATTTTGAATTACTTATCTTCTCATACAACCAATCAAAAAATCAACACAATTAAAAATCTATTATTTCGTGCTTTTAATCTTAGTAGCCCTGAGTTTATGAGAGCTAATGAGTTGAAAATAAGGAATATTTTAAGGCACAATAATTATCCCCACCTTTTCGTGAACAGGGCCATTAATGAGTTCAAGCATAGACCACCTCGCGCGAACACCGTGGGGGAGGAGGTATCGTATTTCAGGTTCCCGTATATTAAAAATTTCACGGAAAAAATTCAAAAAACCTTGTGTGATAAAAATCCGAATAGCAGACTGGCATTCTATAACAAACTTACTTTTAAAAGCCTATACACAAAATTGAAAGATAAGAACCCTCCTGGATTATGCTCTAATTTAGTCTATAAAATCCCTTGCACAAATTGCTATGTGGGAACTACTAAGCAATATCTGAAGGATCGTATATATCAGCATAAATATGACTGCAGGGAGCGTAATAGACAAAAGGCGGAGAAAACAGCTCTGGCAACACATCATGTCGACCAGGGACATGTTTTTGATTTTGATAATGTCAGAATTTTATGTTCAGAATCTAATTATTTTAAACGAAATCTTAATGAAATGATTTATATATCAATTAATGATACAGTAAACTTCAGGACTGACACTCAAAATCTTAGTGCCCAGTATATGCATATCTTAAACCATTACAAGACCAAGAAACAACAACAAAATTAGTTAAAAATTCATCGTTTTTATGTTATTCAATTTTTTTAAAGAACAATAAATTCCATAGATGGCTGAACGTCTCGAGCCAGCAGGCAAAATTATTGGTTTTTAGTTGCCACTTGTGTTTCGTGCCGGGTATACATGTAATGTTGATTACCCAAAAACAAGTTTTCATGTTTAAATCGAAAAGTTTTTATAATGTGCTTGGTGCTTTCACTCATTTCGACCAGAGTCCCTTTTCCAAAAAAATAATTAAAAATAGGTATGTTGCCTCATATTTATTTATTTGTATGTTTGAGTAATACTTTGTTTCATTGATGTTTGGTTTTTATTTTACTTGTGTGTAGTGTATAATTCAATATTGAATTTTTTAATAATGTTTAGATATTTTTGTGTTTTTGATTACCTATTTATATTTTCTGTCACTATTTTTTTTTTTAGTCTTATATCTTGTTACTGTTTACACATTTATGTACCAAGGAAAAACTGTTATTGGAGTATTGTCAATGCATATTTTTATGTTTTAATCAACTTTAAGTCAATAAGCAAGATTGAATTAATTAGTAATTGTCTAGTCTCTCCATAGAGAAAATAACTTTTTTTTCTTGTTATTTTCAGCCTTGAAAAAGACTTTAAATAAAGTCGAAACGTCGGCATTTTTTAAAATTTAAAAGGGACTTTGAATTTTTTTGGCCCTAAACCCACAACACTTCCTATTCATTATAATCCAAGCCAACTAATTCTAAATGGCGGCGAAACGTCCATTAAATGATGGGATTCCAATATTTTCAAGAATATGCAGGGGATGGTGTCCTGAACAACGTCTCACAAAGTCTCGTCGATTTCATGCGCCGCGGGGAAGGGGGGCCTCCTAAAGGTCACTTTTTTCCGTTTTCGGCTTTTATCTCCAGAATGGTGCGTCCCAAAGAAAACTTTATACTTTGTAATTGAAGCCAATAAAATTTCCTTTTGAATGATGCATTTGTATTTCCACCTAAGTGTTACCGTTTTCCAGATATGAGCCGCCGAACATGGAAAGTTGTTAAAAAAAAAGTGGTAGCGGTTCAGGTTTCTGGTAAATATTCCTTATGTATTTTTTTTTTTTTTGATATTACAGAAAGAAAATAAGTTGTAGACTATTTAGTAATTTTTCTACTTTACCCGAACCAAGTTACTGGTTAGAGTGTTTGGAAGTTTAGGGGTAGCTTTTAACATTTCGCTAGTAAAATGCTCGTTACTTAAGTTTCGTTAGTTCCTAAAAGTTTAACCAACATGTACCTATTTGTAGTGAATATACATATATTATTTTCATCAATTTCATCTTATTCGGAAGAAGTTCCGAATAAGTCAAACTCTTCTTCAAAATGCCCCAACTCTGGTTATGGGCACACTGTACAGGGTGGCCCGTTTAAGAGGGGCCTATACCTTATCTCGAAATCTACAAGGGCTGTGAAAAAAATGTAAATACAAAAGTTGTTCCTAATAAAATTATCTACAACTTTTTTGTATTGTTTTTGTTGTCACTTTACTATATACAGGGTGGACAAATGAAATTTCATTTTTTTAAATAGAACACCCTATATTTCAATACATTTTTAAATAGACCTTTGAAAGACAAATTCAACGATATACTGGGCATGTGTCTGTGATAACCCGTTTCGAACTTATTAGCGATTATCTTCATGGATTTGGGGTAATTTTCAACAGTCATTATTACGTGACTCATAAACTTTTAAAACTTTTTTTTGCATGATATTTTCTATAAAATAATGCTCTTCTTTAGACTATATTCAAATTTGAAATATTTGCTTTAAAAACGCGGTGTTGCCACGTTTCGCAAAATGTTACGCTTTTCAATTTTTTTAAATGGGACCTCCTGTTAATTTTCGAGTTTTTGGATAGCCCTTTAAAAGACAAATTCAACGATATACTGGAAATGGGTCTGTGATGCACCGCTTCGGCCTGATTAGCAATTATCTTCAGTTCTAGCACAATATTTCATTTGTCCAAGTCGCCTGGTGAATAACAAACATATGTCTATTTTCCTTCAACCATCTATTAACGTGGTTTATTGATGTATAGAAATTGTTCAATAATGCCACCATTAATGCATAAAAAGCACTATTTTAGCTAATCTACTACAAAATTAGAATTTTTTTTCATTCAACAGGGATGACATGAGATATTGTGCTAGAACTGAAGATAAACGCCAATCAGGTCGAAACGGTGCATCACAGATCCATGTCTAGTATATCGTTAAATTTGTCTTTTAAAAGGCTATCTAAAAACTCGAAAATTTACAGGACGTACCATTTAAAAAAATTGAAAAGCGTAACATTTTGCGGAACGTGGCAACACCGCGTTTTTAAAGCAAATATTTCAAATTTGAATATAGTTTAAACAAGAGCATTATTTTATAGAAAATATCATGCAGAAAAAAGTTTAAAAAGTTTATGAGTAACGTAACAATGACTGTTGAAAATTACGCCAAATCCTGAAGATAGTTGCTAATAAGTTCGAAACGGTATATCACAGCACATGACCAGTATACCGTTGAATTTGTCTTTCAAAGTGCTATTTAAAAATGTATTAAAATATAGGGTGTTCCGTTTAAAATTTCATTTGTTCACCCTGTATATAGTAAAGTGACACCAAAAATAATACAAAAAAGTTGTAGATAATTTTATTAGAAACAACTTTTGTACTTAATTTTTTTTTACAGCCCTTGTAGTTATCGAGATAAGGTATAGGCCCCTCTTAAACGGGCCACCCTGTACATGAGCCTTGATAACTACTGCACACCATGAACAGTTCTTCCGAGCTCTCCTGCAACCATACCTTGTGCCATAGCCAGTGGTATAACGACAGAAAAGTGTTTTGAGGACACTGTCGGGGTCCAAAGGGGCATCTGTCTTGATGGGGATGAGGTATCCACCATCTTTTCTCATCTATCCCTAACTTTCAGCTCGAAGGGATTCGTCCCCCAACCATTGTTGTACCTTTACATACACTCTATAGGAATGTTGCATTCCAGCTTCTTTTGTAGGCGGCAAAGCGCACATGTGTTTTCCAGTGACTCATTAGAGTTACTCCGGAGCAGCTTCATCTGCAAATTAAAAATGGATGGATTTTACGTTCTTATTTAACCAATTATTTAAAGTAATTCTAATCGCTTTCCGACTTCTCAATTCAATTGAGTTGGACATTTTTTGTTGATAAACTGTAAAATTGTTCCACTTATTTAATCTTGGAGGCCCAGTAAGCTGACGTACAAAATTTAAATAAAATGTCAACTATACGAATGCCGAATGAGTAGATGACTACACGAATAACACCGAGACGAGCGCTCGTCTCCTGTGATTCGTGCACGCTACGCTCGTGGTCCAATCATATTTAGTGCAAAGAACACGCTCACTTTGCAACTTGGTACATAAATAGCTAATTTATACAGGGTATACTAGGTATACTATACGTATTAAACTAAACAGCATACGAAGTAATTGAAAGAGTTATAGAGCTTCAAAACGAAACTTGTATAACGAGCATTTTACTAGCGAAATGTTAGAACTTTTCCCCAAACTTCCAATACTCTAACCACTTACTGGGTTGGATAAACCAGCAAAATTATATCTACACGGTTTTGAAGACAATTTTTTGGTCTACAACTTTTTTTCTCACTGTAATATCAAGAAAAAAGTTACAAAAGGAATATTTACGAGATACCTTAACCGCTACCACTTTTTTTGACAAATTTTCATATTCAGCGGCTCATATCTGGGAAACGGTACAACTTAAGTGTAGATACAAATGCATCATTCAAGTGGAAATTACATTAGCTTTAATTTTACAAAGTATAAAATTCTGTGGGACGCACCATTCTCGAGATAAAAGCGAAAAACTGAAAAAAAGTGACCTTTGGGTCGCCGACTAACAGATTCGTATATAGGTAAAGGACTCCACTCACTTCATAGAGAAGATCAGAAACTTCTAACTGGACGAAAACGACATTCTAGTAAGCTTTGATATTGTCTCCCTGTTCACCAAGGTACCACTGTGTGAAGCAATGAGTGAGGTCGAACATATATTTCCCAAAGACATTGCTGACCTCTTTAAGAATTGCCTTACGACATCGTATTTCACCTTCAACAACGGAATATATGAACAGATCGACGGTGTATCAATGGGAAGTCCGCTATCACCAGTAATCGCAAACTTCTTTATGGAGAAACTAGAAAAGAAAGCCTTGGACAGCGCACGTTTAAAACCAAAAGGCTGGTATCGATATGTGGATGACACCTTTGTTGTTTGGCCCTATGGTAGGGATAGCCTGAACGATTTCCTCGCTCATATTAACAGCATACACCCCAGTATCCAATTTACCATGGAACTAGAGGACAACGGAAAACTGGCTTTTCTCGATGTTCTAGTCACGAGAAAACAGAGACAACTAGGACACATTGTGTACAGAAAACCAACACACACGAATCGTTACCTACATAACAGTTCCAATCTTCATCCATGCCAACGGAGAGGACTAATAAAAACTTTGGTAGAGAGAGCTAGAAAAATCTGCGAGCCCGAACACCTAGACGAGGAACTAAGTCACCTTAAAGGCGCTGTTATATCAAATGGATACGCCGAAAAGGACAATTTTATACGACCAAAGGCTAGTATCAGAAACGTTGAACGAGAGAGCCGTGACATCATTTCAAAAGCCTTTCTACCTTATGTACCTAAAGTCACAGATAGAATCGGCCGAATTCTGGGAAAATATGAAAACTATTTTCAAACCATCCAAGAAGATTGAGAACCACCTCAGATCTGCCAAGGACAAGAGAGATCCACTGAGCTCTACAGGTATATATCGCATTCCCTGCACCTGTGGAAGTGTCTACATTGGAACAACTAAGCGGTCAGTCAACACCAGAATCAAAGAACACAAGGCCAATTGCCGCCTTGGACATACAGAAAAATCAGCGGTGGCAGAACACACACTAAACAATGAAAACCACAGAATAAAATTTGAGGACACCCAAGTTTTATGCACCACTGCTTCATATTATCTTAGGTTCTATAGAGAGGCGATTGAAATTCACAAACACCAACAAAATTTCAACAGATCTGAGGAAACACTTAAAATCAACAGAACATGGATACCGATTCACAAAGCTGCCGTACAAACACAAGGAAAATGAAAAGGAATCTCGGAAATGTGGCCAAACAAACAAAACCAAAATAAGCCCCGCCCATCCACACAGCGTATATAACCTGCGCCCGCGACGAGCAGACCTTCAGTCTTCAATCAGTCACTTAGCAAGCAACATCTCCTGAAGATGCAATCCACTCGTGATGGCGAAACGTCGAGAACCGAACGACGACGGCCGAACAGCCCGAAAACCCACTCATTACTTCACAGTTTTGTTTAATTACAGTTATAAAACTTCTTACATCTTGTTATTTGAAAAACGTTTAACAAATCTTTTAGGTGAACATAAATAATGTTGAATGGGGAGTTTCACCATATTTGAATTTCATTGCTTTATTATTTTTAATCAGTTGTTTGAACCGAAATAAAAATACCCTTGCTTCCAGTTGGCACTAAAATGTCCTACTTTTTTAAGAAAATAATATTAAAAAATGCTGTTTTCATACCACATATTCAAATGTACTGGAATGGCGCCATTGATGACGTAGCCATTCACGTCCGACCAATAATAATCGTTCACAATGGCTCTGACGCACATCTTTAATGCGTTTCTTGTCTAAGCTCTGAAAAGTGACAATGATGAAATTCATCATGCGTTCTTCTTCTTCTTCCTGTTCACCAATGGTGCCTTGTCGTTTGTCGTCAAGCAACAGTCAGCTACAATCCCTTCACTTATATCCTCTAGTGCATCGGGGTTACCCCGCTTGCCAATAGGTTAGGTTCCATTTGGGAATGGGTAATCGCCAGGGAAATAGGAACAAATTGGGTATGTGCCTGAAAAAATAAACATCATAATGAGCAAGCATTAGCATCTAATAGGATTCCAAATCATGCAGCACAACAAATAGCAACGCCATGCAATAACAACTGCAACCACAAAATATTGCTTATTTTCAAATTCTTGTATCATACTTTTTGATGCAATCCATAACCATATCTGCTTCTTGACTGGTTGGGTATGCAAGAATTCCCTTCATCTCTATCGGACTCCTACCATCATGTTCAGTCTTGAATACAACGAATCTGTCGGACCTCTGTTAAGCTCACAGTTCAAGAACACATGATTGATTTCACCCACTCCACCACATTCACAATTCTCGCTGTCCTGCATGCCAAGTTTGTGTTTGTGTTTAGGTATGAGGCAATGTGTAGTTCTCATTCTGCAAAAGACACTAGTTTTTTGTCTGTCGGCCCTTTTAATTTTTGCAAACCATGGTGTTTGAGGTTTCTTCGTTAATTTTTAGTATTGATTTGAATAATTTCTGCCTTTGTTGGTAAATTTCGCAGTCCTGTAACATTTGAAAAGTCACAACAATATATTTACTCTTCCTAATTATTTTCATATATTTTGGACTCATTTAAAAGTACTATTTCGTACACCTAGCGACATTCTGACTAGTTTTCCTAGCCTAATATCATTGAATCGAAAATTCCATTATTTCCGAGAAACCTGTAGCGCTGTCATTTTTATAATTTCGACAGGCTTGACAGACCAAGAAAGAAAAGGACAGAACCATTTGGGTACTTTTGACTTGGACTTTTCTATTTTGTCGTGGGACCGAAAAGGTCGTCCAAATTTTTAATCTTAAAAATCTTAAAATTTTGTCTTTATTTTTGGCCATCGAGCCCATAGTTTTGTAAATTAACTAGCCAGAAGAGTGATTAATCGTGTCAGCTAGAACGTTTCTTGTAAAATCAACAGATTGTTGATTTTTGTGAAGATTTTTGAAAGTGAGGTAAACTATCGGCCGTTCAGGTATGTAAACCCCTTTTTCTCTATGATGAATGAGTCCTTATATTTCTTCAATTCATTCAGGCAACTTTGGACAGGACGAAAAAATCTTTGACTGCACTTATCTAAGTGAAAATTGACCAATTTGAGACCATGCTGTTCTACAAGAAAATCTGGGCCCCCTTTTCAAGGAATGTTGGTGTCCTGTAAGAAGTAGATCCCCAACCATTATTTGGTTGCCTTCAGCCAATTTGGTACTTCCAGATATCAAATTTGTGAAAACTTCCAAGGACTCCGTCCAAGCTTGTATAATTATTTACGTATGGGTCCCGTAAATGTGCCATATTAATTACCGTTACTTATTATTATCTTTTTTTCCTATCGTCCCCTATCGATTAGCTTTATTAGCTAATTAATATCTTTATAAATATTAATTACCGTTAATTATTATTACCTTTTTTCTATTGCCCCTTATCGTTTAGCTACATTAGCTAATTATTATCTTTGTGAAATCAATTACCGACTCGTTTAACTTATAGTAGTATTTGGCTAGAATAGCTAACTACTGTTTAAATATAATTAATAATTTAATAAATTAATCATTATCATAATCAGATATTTACCTTCATTAACGTTTTCTTTATCATTATCTAGTATTCTAGTATCTAATAATCATGGGTTATTATAATTATTGTAGATTTATTTCTTTCATATCGAGTACCGATAGATATAATATATAGTGGATTCATTAACCTTTAGAGATTAATTTAACCTTTAATTTCAAATCAATAAGGTGGTAGTTCTACAAGGTAAATCAATGTAAAATTTTTAGGTAGTTAAAGTTAAGTTATATGGTTACATATTTTGAATTTCAATTACAGGTAAGACGGTATAGCTCTCCCCGATATCCCTGATTTCATTTAGCCTGTCTTTGGCATTTATAACTCCCTAGAGATTATTTATTACCTTTCTGCATTTATTGATTTGTTTTTTTTATTGATCTGATTGAC